AGTACTATTTTTTTAAAAAAATATGTTTTATTGATTTTCTACAGAGAAGAAGGGAGAGGGATAGAGAGTCAGAAACATCGATGAGAGAGAAACATCCATCAGCCGCCTCCTGCACGCCCCGCACTGGGGTTGTACCCGCAACCAAGGTACATGCCCTTGACGGGAATCGAACCTGGGACCCTTGAGTCCACAGGCCGACGCTCTATCCACTGATCCAAACCGGTTCTGGCGAGAGGTACTATTAAAGAGAAAGTTTTGGAGCTGAAAGAGTTGTTTCCTCTCCATTGTTTATCATCTGTTTTGTCAGTATTCTTGTTGGGTGGTTTTTGTTCACTTATCAGTTCCATGTTTTCTTTCATGCCCTTTTTTGCTGCAATATATTTCTGCTTAGAGACCCCGAATGATCTTAGAGGAGCTGTCTTTTCCATGAGCAATTATTTTTTATATGTTTTCAGATAGTGTTCTGGGATGCATGATATTTTTATTGTTTCTTATCTGTTCTCATGTTTATATTCATTCTAGTTCGAATTCATGAGCTGCTTGCATTTGTATGTCGCTTTCTCCAATTGTCAGGATCTTAAACGATTAATTTTTTATATTAGCTACCTATTGGTTTTCACTATTCTGTCACTATGGGGTTTCCTTGGTGGTCAATTTGTTAGTATCTTAGGACTTCCTTAAATTCTGTTCACATTTCCACGTGTTTGTTGGCTTCTCTGAATCAAAATGTTAATGAATTAAAATTGTAATGATTTCTGTACAAATTCTTTGATTATTTAATTACTGTGTTTTAAATGTATCTTTATTGATTTCAGAGAGGAAAGGAGAGGGAGAGAGAGATAGAAACATCAGTGAAGAGAGAGAATCATTGATCGGCTGTTTTCTGTACGGTCAGGGATTGAGCCTTAAACCCAGACCTGTGCCCTGATTTGGAACCAAACTGTGACCTCCTAGTTCATAGGTTGAAATTCAACCACTGAGTCACCGCTTCCAGGCAAATTTTTTGATGTTTTGAGTTGGTCACGTCTTTCATTCATGATTCTACTGTATTTTTAATTCAGGTATAAGTTATTTCAATATCCCCCTTTGGTGTGGTATTTATAAAGTACTTTTGCATTATATTTTTATTTTGGTTATATAATATTTTGGTGATTTTTTATAGGTTTCTTTTTTCTCCTTTTTGCCTTTAAGCTTTTCCATTCCTTTTTGAGGTAATTGATATATTTCCATTAATGTAGTGCCAGTTTGACTACATTTATTTTATTTTACTGATGGTATACTTTTCCTGTTTTGTTTTTTTTCATGACGTGATATCTTTTGTTGAGATTCCTAAATGGTAAAGTAGCAGGCTTTTGAACATGCTTTCTATAGGAGGAAACTAATAACCATCTGTGGAACAAATTCTACTTTCGGTCAACACTATTTTCAGGATCTTTATTCTTGGTTTGGTCGTCTCTTTAATTTCCCAGTTGGAAATGTTCTCTGTTTCTTTCTCAGACCCACTGTATCTTTCAGGCTTGATATATATCTTTCAGTATCACATTCTTTGTGGTGCTCAAACAATTTCTCATTGTGTCTTTCTATCGGCCACTGCAAGGCACTCACCGTGTATCGCAATTCTGTTTGCACTCTGTGTCGTGCACAACAGACGCTTGTTATTCAGTATGCTTCAAAACAGGGAGATGATTGAACATGCACTTCCCTCATCTCTGTCTCCTCAGTGAAGAAACTGGGAATTGGGAGTGTTTTTATAATATGGCCATTGTGTGGCAGGGGGTGTGAGCAGTTATGATTGGCAAATGTAAGCAACTCTTTGTCCCTCTTTTTTTTTTTTTTTTTTTGTTGTTGTTACATCACCATCTCCCATTTATTTATTTAAAAAAAAGCTCCGTCATTTTGACGTATGTACATATGTGCTTTATGTTTTTTATTATTTATTGACCACAAATAAATGTCAGGAATTCTTACCTATCTTTTTTTTCCCCTTTATTGATTAAGATATTACAAATGTGTCCTTATTCCCCCATGTCCTCTGATCTCACCCAATCCTGCCCTCATCCTCGCCCCCTGTTGTCCACATCCATCACTTGTGCTTATATGCATGCATACAAGTCCTTTGGTTGATCTCTCCTCCTCACCCCCACCCTCCCCTACCTTCCCTCTGGGTTTTGAGCATCTGATCGATGCTTCTCTGTCTCTACATCTGTTTTTCTTCATTGGTTTATGTTCTTCATTATAATCCACAAATGAGTGAGAGCATGTGATATTTATCTTTCTCTGACTTATTTCACTTAGCATAATGCTCTCCAGCTCCAACCATGCTGTTGCAAATGGTAGGAGTTCCTTCCCTTTTACAGCAGCATAGCATTCCATTGTGTAGAGGTGCCAAAGTTTTTTAATCCATTCATCTGCTGATGGGCATTTAGGCTGATTGTAAATCTTAGCTATTGTAAATTGTGCTGCTATGAAGATAGAGATGCATATATCCTTTTTTTTAAATCAAATCTTTATTATTCAGATTATTACAGTTGTTCCTCCTTTTTCCTCCCATAGTTCCCCTCCACCGGGTTCCCACCCCACCTTCTGCCCTTACCCCCCTCCACTGTCCTCATCCATAGCTGTACGATTTTTGTCCAGTCTCTTCCCACACCCCCCACACCATTTTCCCCCCCAAAAATATTCAGTCCACTCCTTTCTATGCCCCTGATTCTATTATATTCACCAGTTTATTCTGTTCATCAGATTATTTACTTGATTTTTAGATTCACTTGTTGATAGATGTGTATTTGTTGTTCATAATTTATATCTTTACCTTTTTCTTCTTCTTCATTTTCTTAAAGGATATCTTTCAGCATTTCATATAATCCTGGTTTTGTGGTGATGAACTCCTTTAGCTTTTTCTTATCTGTGAAGCTCTTTATCTGACCTTCAATTCTGAATGATAGCTTTGCTGGGTAAAGTCATCTTGGTTGTAGGTTCTTGGTATTCATCACTTTGAATATTTCTTGCCACTCTCTTCGAGTCTGCATAGTTTCTGTTGAGAAATCAGCTGACAGTCCTATGGGTATTCCCTTGTAGGTAACTGACTGTATTTCTCTTTCTGCTTTTAAGATTCTCTCTTTGTCTTTTGCTCTTGGCATTTTAATAATGATGTGTGTTGGTGTGGTCCTCTTTGGATTCCTTTTGCTTGGGGTTCTCTGCGCTTCCTGGACTAGTAAGTCTATTTCTTTCACCAGGTAGGGGAAGTTTTCTGTCATTATTTCTTCAAATGGGTTTTCAATATCTTGCTGTCTCTCTTCTTCTGGCACCCCCATAATTTGAATGTTGGTACGCTTGAAGTTGTCCCAGAGGCTCCTTACACTATCTTCATATTTTCGGATTCATTTTTCTTTTTGTTTATTCGGTTGGGCGTTTTTTGCTTCTTCATATTTCATATCCTTGACTTATTTCTTGTGATCCTCTAGTCTGTTGTTGGAACTCTCTATAATATTGTTTGTTTTAGTCAGTGTATGTTTAATTGCTAGTTGGTCCTTTTTCATAACCTCGAGGGTCTCACTATTCTTGAGGGTCTCACTAAATTTATCGGCGTTTTCTAGAAAATTCTTGAAAAACCTTAAAAGTGTGGTTTTGTACTCTATATCCAGTAGTTTTCTTTCCTGCATTTCTGTCATTTGTAAACTGTTTCTTTGTCTCCGCATTTTTTATGCTTCCCTCTGTTGATAGAGTGGCTTTCTGTGCTAGGTGTCCTCTAGGGCCCAGTGGCTCAGCCTCCCCAATTACCTGAGGTGGACACTCTTGGTGCACCCCTTTGTGGGCTTTGTGCACAGTCTTGTTGTAGTTAAGCCTTGATTGTTGTAGGTATCACTGGGAGGAATTAACCTCCAGGCCTATTGGCTGTGAGAATCAGCTGTGTCTGCAGTGGGAGAACTTCTGAGCTGCAGACACCCTTCTGGGGCAAGACTTGCTTCAATGGGTCTTTGGTGCTCACCTAGTCTACCCCCTGAGTGTGTTCTTTATGAATCTGCGGAGTTGTAATCTGGATGGTCTCACTCTGACCACTGGGTATACTGGCTCTTGGATCTCTAAGGAGGTGCTAATTTATCCTCTGCCTGAGGCTACCCAGCAGGAGCTTTGGAGAGATCTTCAGATTCCTCTTCTTTGTTTGGGGTTTGGAGGTTCCCAGATGAGGCCCAGCTCTGATACAATGCAAGCTGCTGTGGGGCCTTGGGCCTTCTTTTGGAAGTTCTGGGTCTCTCTGACCTAGCTGAAGTTTTTTAGGGAATTTTCAGATTGCCAAGGGCCAGGCCTTTCATATGCAAAAGCCTCTGCACACAGTTTGGGTGGGGTGGGGTCTCAGGGGATTAACAAGGAAAAGGAAGCAGCTATGGCTGCTCCTCAGTCCTACCCTAAAAGGCCCTGTGTCTCAGTGTCCCAGTAATCGCTACAAGTACCTCTGAAAGAAAGCAGCCCTCGAGTTCCAACCGATGCCAGACAGTCCAGTTTCTCCTTGTATGATTCTGGGTCCCCAGAGACTTGCCCAGAAATGGAGTTCAGAGCAGATGGGAGCTTGAGACTCCCTCCCAATTGAAAAAAACAACTGTGTCCTCAGTTGCCAGCCCGTTCCGCGCGCTTCTGTACCTCTGCACTTTACTTCCGCACCTCCTCTTAGTATCAGTGTGCTTTTCTCTTTCCTTCTAGTTGTAGAATTTCCACTCAGCCAGCCTTCCTGTGGTTCTGGATGATGTCCATATTGTCTTTTAGTTGTATTTTTGAAGTGGCTGTATGAGGCAACAATTTCCGGTGTTTACCTATGCCACCATCTTTGTTTCTCTTCTTTGTCCCTCTTTGAGGTGAGTTTTCCTCATTGCACCTATCTAGAGCTTTCCTTGAACCCTTCACTACCTCTTGGAGTACTCAGAGATGTCATTTGGCCTATAGTTGCTGGTAACTTCAAAGTGCACTCACCTGATTGTGAAAACCGAACATTTGTTTTCTTTCAGCTATGTCATCTGAAGATGCCCAGGCCTTTATGCCCAAGACCAGAATACAAGATTTATTCTCCGAAATGATACTGGTAAGATATAAAATGTGTTGCTTTGATAATGTACACTTAATGATAGTCTCAGAATTTGAGGAAGAGTATGATGAGAACAGAGGTTATTAGTATAAACAGAACTAATCGGGAACAGTTCTCATAGTAAAATTGTTGTTACCTAAAGAGGTGAAGTGTATTATGCATTTGGGAAACCTTCCTCTTTAAAGTGAGTTACACTGGCAGATCAGTGTGTTTCTGCATGTGAAGGTTGAAAACAACTTTTAATGTTATGCATTCTTGGAAAGGAAATCTGGATAAAGTAGGAGTTCGCATGTTGTGTAGTGTAAATAATCATTTGAATTTTGTAAGATGTAGGGTGGGATTAAACTTTCATGCAATAATTTCTAAAATGTAGAGATTTACAATATACCTATAAAATTTAAATATGCGCAATTGGGCAATCATTGTTCTTGTTGTTATAACTGGAGGCCTGGTGCACAAATTTGTGCACCAGTGGTGTCCCTCAGCCTGGCCTGCAGAATTCTGCTGAAACTGGCTCTCGACATCCCTTGAGGGATCCCGTATTGCAAGAGGGTGCAGGTCAGACCAAGGACCCCACCGGTGCACCATTGGGGCTGGGGATGGATGCGGGAAGTTGGTGAGCCGTAGAGGTACCATGGGAGGGCTCCAGGGTGTGTCCGGCCTATCTGGTTTAGTCCCGATCTCCCGGATACCAGCAACAAGCTAACCTACTGGTCTGAGCGTCTGCCCCCTGGAGGTCAGTGCTTCTCTTAGTGAGCGGTTGAGCGGCCTTACCATATTATTCTTTGATTAGTTGAATGGATGACCAGAGGACCGGACACTTAGCATATTAGGCTTTTATTATATAGGATTATTATCACTTTTAAATATATTTTTATTGAATTCAGAGAGGAAAGGGGAGAGATGGAAACGTCAGTAATGACAGGGAATCATTGATTGGCTACCTCCTACATGCCCCCTACTGAGGATGGAGCCCGCAACTTGAGCATGTGCCCTTGACTAGAATCAAACCCAGGTCCCTTCAGTCAGCTTGCCAAAGGTCTATTTACTGAGCCAAACCAGCTAGTGCCTTTATTATATTTTTTATTCAAAATATATTTTTTTTGGATTCAAAGAGGCAGGGAGATGAAGAGAGATAGGCAAATATCCTTGATGAGAGAGAATCATTGACTGGCTGCCTCCTGCATTCCTCACACTGGGGACTGATTCCGAACTTGAGGCTTGTGCCCTGATGGGGAATGGAACCGACGTTCTGGCTCAAACTTTAAGGCTCAACTATCAAATCTTGCTGGTTCGGCAATTTGGCAATCTTTTTTTGGTTGTTCTTATGTAGTTTATTGATTTTTTTTACAGAGAGGAATGGAGAGGGATAGAAAGTTACAAACATTGATGAGAGGTTAACATTCGTCTGCTGCCTCCTGCACACCCCCTACTGAGGGTGTGCCTGAAACCAAGGTACATGCCCTTCACTGGAATCCAGCCTGGGACCCTTCAGTCCGCAGGCCAACACTCTATCCACTGAGCCAAACAGGTTAGGGCTAGCAGTCTTTTAAACAAGGATTCATTCTTCCTCTGACAATTATTGTTTTATATTTAAATTTGTCTATATATATATATTTTTTAATATATTTTATTGATTTTTTACAGAGAGGAAGGGAGAGGGATAGTTAGAAACATCGATGAGCAAGAAACATCGATCAGCTGCCTCCTGCACGCCCCCCACTGGGAATGTGCCCGCAGCCAAAGCACATGCCCTTGACCGGAATCGAACCCGGAACCCTTGAGTCCGCAGGCCGACGCTCTATCCACTGAGCCAAACCGGTCAGGGCTTGTCTATATTTTTAATAAATTAGGAGAGCTTTTGTTACACAACTATCTTAGTTTAATGAGTATCACAAAATGGTTTTTATGGAACAAGTGTACATGTTTAATGAAATAACTGTCAGTAAAGGTTTTTCCATCTCCCATTACTACCAGAGTACACATAATGGAGACAGAAGTTATCAGTGGAATGAAAATTGGGAAGAATTTAAGCAAGAGTCATATTGTAGTCATCGGAGAAGCGAGCTTGCAAAGGAGCATTATAAAAGTGGAAGAGTCTGTAACCCAAGGTGCAATCACAAAATATGTGAGGTTATTCCTATTGTGGAGAAGACACACAAAGGAATTCAATGTGTCTTGTCTTTTCAGCATTCTCCAAATTACACTGAACAAGAGAATGTTCATCCTGGGGAGAAAGCTTACAAATGGAATCCTTGTGGTATAATATCCAGTGAAATATTCAAGACAAATAAAGTGAAAAAAATTCATAGTGGAAAAAAATCTAACAAATGTAAAGATTCTGGTAAAACATCTAATTGGCCTTCAGTTTGTATGCTAAATCAGAAAATTCAAACTGGACTGACGCCTTACAAATGTAAAGTATGTGGCAAAGCCTTTAAATGTCATTCATCTCTTGTCGTACATAAGGGAAGAATTCATACTATTGCAACATGTTATAAACTCAGGGAAAATGGAAAAGGCTTTAGTCAGTCCTCAGGACATACTCCACATCATAGAAATCACATGGGTGAAAAGTTTTATAAATGTTCAGAATGTGACAAAGCCTTTAGCTGGCCCTCAACTCTTAGTATTCACCAGAGAATTCACACTAGAGAGAAACCTTATAAATACAGAGAATGTGGCACATCCTCTATCAACTATGCAAATCTTACTTATCATCAAAGTGTTCATACTGAAGATAGGCCTTATAAATGTAGAGACTGTGGTAAAGGATTCCTTCACGCTTCAAACCTGCGTCAACATCGGAAAGTTCACAATGGAGAGAAACACTACAAATGTAGAAAATGTGGGAAAGTCTTTAGAGAGTTCTCACACCTTACTACGCACCAGAGAGTTCATACTGGAGAGAAGTCCCATAAATGTGGAGAATGTGGCAAAGCCTTTAGATGGTTCACAAAACTTAGGAGGCATCAGCGAGGTCATACAGGAGAGAAACCTTATAAATGTAGAGAATGTGGCAAAGCCTTTAGCCTTTCCTCCTCTCGTAATACACATCAGAGAGTTCATACAGGAGAGAAACCTTATAAATGTAGAGAATGTGGCAAAGCCTTTAGCGATTCCTCCTCTTTTTATAGACATAAGAGAGTTCATACAGGAGAGAAACCTTATAAATGTAGAGAATGTGGCAAAGCCTTTAGTCAGTCCTCCTCTCTTTGTAGACATGAGACAGTTCATACAGGAGAGAGACCTTATAAATGTAGAGAATGTGGCAAAGCCTTTAGTCGGTCCTGCTCACTTTATATACATGAGACAGTTCATACAGGAGAGAAACCTTATAAATGTAGAGAATGTGGCAAAGCCTTTAGTCAGTCCGCCTCTCTTTGTAGACATGAGGCAGTTCATACAGGAAAGAAACCTTATAAATGTAGAGAATGTGGCAAAGCCTTTACCACTTCCTCATACCTTACTTCACATCAGAGAGTTCATACTGGAGAAAAGCTCAATAAATGTGGAGAATGTGGCAAAGCCTTTAGTCGGTCCTCACATCTTACTAGGCATCAGCGAGGTCATACTGCGGAGAAACCTTATAAATGTAGAGAATGTGGCAAAGCCTTTAGTCAGTCCTCGCATCTTACTAGGCATCAGCGAGGTCATACTGCGGAGAAGCCTTATAAATGTAGAGAATGTGGCAAAGCCTTCACCAGTTCCTCATACCTTACTTCACATCAGAGCGTTCACACAGGAGAGAAGCCATATAAATGTAGAGAATGTGGCAAAGCCTTTACCAGTTCCTCATACCTTACAACACATCAGAGCATTCACACAGGAGAGAAGCCATATAAATGTAGAGAATGTGGCAAAGCCTTTACCAGGTCCTCATCCCTTACTTATCATCAGAGAGTTCATACTGGAGAGAAGCCTTATAAATGTACAGAATGTGGTAAATCCTTTGTCAGCTCCTCAGCGCTTGCTAAGCATCAGAGAGTACATACTGGAGTGAAGCCGTATAAATGTAGAGTATGTGGCAAAGCTTTTAGTGATTTCTCCTCTCTTAATAGACATCAGAGAGTTCATACAGGAGAGAAACCTTACAAATGTAGAGAATGTGGCAAAGCCTTCACCAGTTCCTCATCACTTACTTCACATCAGAGCTTTCACACAGGAGAGAAGCCATATAAATGTAGAGAATGTGGCAAGTCCTTTGGCTGCTCCTTACACCTTACTAGACATGAGAGAATTCATTCTGGAGAGACGCCATATAAATGTAAAGAATGTGGCAAAGCCTTTACCACATCCTCATCCCTTATTTATCATCAGACAGTTCATACTGGAGAGAAGCCTTATAAATGTACAGAATGTGGCAAATCCTTTACCAGGTCCTCATCTCTTACTTGTCATCAGAGAGTTCATACTGGAGAGAAGCCTTATAAATGTACAGAATGTGGCAAATCCTTTGTCAGCTCCTCAGCACTTACTAAGCATCAGAGAATACATACTGGAGTGAAGTCTTACATATGTGTGTAGTATCATAAGTCCTTGAGGAGCAGTGAGAATTTACTCAAGATCACAGAATTCATGCTGGAAAGAAGCTTTATGAATATGAAAAATGTAAAAAAGCTTTTAAAAGCCATTCAGATATGACTTTATCTTAGAGACTTCCTAACAGACACTGTATAAATGCAGAGAATGGACTGTAGCCTTTACTCACAGCTCAAAATTTACTGAACATTAGAGATTTTATAGTAGAGCAGCAGTTCTCAACCTGTGGGTTGTGACCCCTTTGAAGGTCGAACAACCCTTTCACAGGGGTTGCCTAAGACCATTGGAAAACACAGATATAATTACACATTGTTTTTGTGATTAATCACTATGCTTTAATTATGCTCAATTTGTAACAATGAAAATACATCCGCCGAAACCGGTTTGGCTCAGTGGATAGAGCGTCGGCCTGCGGACTGAAAGGTCCCGGGTTCGATTCCGGTCAAGGGCATGTACCTGGGTTGCGGGCACATCCCCAGTGGGAGATGTGCAGGAGGCAGCTGATCGATGTTTCTCTCTCATCGATGTTTCTAACTTTCTATCTCTTTCCCTTCCTCTCTGTGAAAAATCAATAAAATATATTTAAAAAAAAGAAAAAAGAAAATACATCCTGCATATCAGATATTTACATTACGATTCCTAACAGCAAAATTACAGTTATGAAGTAGCAACAAAAATAGTGCTTGGGGTTACCACAACATGAGGAACTGTATTAAAGGGTCATGGCACTAGGAAAGTTGAGAACCACTGTAGTAGAGGTAAGCGTTAAACTGTAGAAAATGTGAGAAAGCCTTTAACCTGTGTTCAGACTTAACATTTTACAAAGCATTTTAAAGAGAAACAGCAAAAATATAAAGTTATCATCCAAAGATTTAACCATGCTTTATCATTGAGAATGGTAAGGTGTTACAAATTCTGAGGGATATATCAAAGTGTATATCCTCATTTATATGTCATAGAACCTGTGATAATTATTACTGGATCGAAACCCAGCAGATATAAAGAATGTGACAAAGCTTACTCAGTATGCAAACCTTACCCGACATCAGAATTCATACTGTAGAGAAACAATACAAATGGAAACATTGTCCTAAAGGCTTTAATCGGTATCCGTAGCTTATTTCTCAGATTAGAATTTATTCTAGAGGGAAACCTTAAAAGTGAAGAATGTGGGAAATCGTGTAGTTGGACCTACAGCCCCAGTCTTATCAGGCTTTGTAATTGGGCAGAAATTCTACGTTTTTCATATAGGAGGAAGGACTTTTAAAACGTACAGTTTTCAAATCTCCAAGGAATTTATGCCTTAAATTGGCTTTAAAGATGTAAAAACTTAATCCAAGTATTTGATTGATGATGAGTTTAAAGTGTCACGGAATTCACACTAGATCAGTAGCCAAAATGCCTTTCAGGTGTTGCCCTAAATCAGTACGCGCAGTGTACTCCAAACTTTAAATGTTGTTAGGTAATGTTTGTATACTTGAATATATCAAAAGAATTCATGTTTATGTGTACAACTACTTAGAGTGTAATTTCATTTATATTGAAATAATTCGAAGTCTTTTGAAAAGGAAATAATAATGTGATTCTACTCCCATATCACTTGCTACTGCTGCTTTATTCCTGGTGAATGTGTGAAATCATGGGGTTGATAGTTTCTGCCTTAAAGATCTGTGCTGTTGTCTACTCTAATAAAAGAAAAACATGCAGCCCTAGCCGGTTTCCGCTCAGTGGATAGAGCGTCACCCTGCGGACTCAAAGGTCCCGGGTTTGATTCCGGTCAAGGGCCTGTACCTTGGTTGCAGGCACATCCCCAGTAGGATGTGTGCAGGAGGCTGTCGATCGACGTTTTTCTCTCCTCGATGTTTCTAACTCTCTATCCCTCTCCCTTTCTCTCTGTAAAAAATCAATAAAATATATATATGGAAAAAGAGAAAAACATGCAAATTGACCGCACCTTCGCTATGCCTTAAGCCATGCCTACCAGCCAATCAGAGCAACTATATGCAAATTAACCCAACCAAGATGGCGGCTGGCAGCCACGGAGCTGGAGCAAGCAGGTGGCTTGGTTGCTGCAGTGATGGAGAAAGCCAAGCTTCCCGCCTGCCGCGGCCTGCTCTGTGCTCCACTCAAATCAACAGTTTCAATTATAGAAGGTAAATAAACCCCAGATACCTGCTTTCAGCTGGCTGTGGCCACAGAGCTGGAGTGAGCAGGAGGCTTGGTTTGCCCTGGTGATGGAGGAAGCCGAGCTTCCCTCCCACCTGCGCTGGCCAACTCTGAGCTCCTCTCAAGGATACAAAGTTTCAATTATACAGGGAAAATAAATCCCAGAAGAAAAAAGAAAAAAAGAAGAGGGTGGGAGCTTTTGTTGCCAGGGGAGCCTGTCCAGCCTTAAAATGGACCTCAGCCCCTCACCCAGACTGGCCAGGCCCCCCAGTGGGGACCCTCCACCATAATGGGGTGTGGCAAGCCTGAAAACAGCCATCAGCCCCTCACCCAGGCTGGCCAAACCTCCATGGAGTGAGGGTTCCCACTTCGGGGGGGCTTGACCAGCCTGCAAACAGCCATGAGCCCCTTACCCAGGCTGGCCAGGCACCCTAGTAGGGACCCCCACCCTGATCCAGGACACCCTTCAGGGCAAACCAGCAGGCCCTCACCCATGCACCAGGCCTCTATCATTTATAATAGAAGGGTAATATGCATACTGACCCTAACAGCAGAACGACTGGGAATGACTTGTCACTATGACACACACTGACCACCAGGGGGCAGACGCTCAATGCAGGAGCTGCCCCCTGGTGGTCAGGGCACTCCCACAGGGGGAGCTCTGCTCAGCGACAAGCCACGCTGATGGCTGTCAGTTCAGCAGTGGTGGTGGGAGCCTCTGCCGCCTCAGCTGTGCTAAGGATGTCTGACTGCATCTTAGGCCTGCTCCCCGCTGGCAAGTAGACATCTCTGGAGGGATTCCGGGATGCCAGAGGTATGTCTGATTGCCAGCTTAAGCTCAGTTCCCCGGGAGTGGGCCTAAGCCAGCAGGTGGTCATCTCCCAAGGGTGTCCCACACTGCAAGAGGGCACAGGCTGGGCTGAGGGACACCCCCCACCCCCCGCCAAGTGAACAAATTTTTGTGCACCAGGCCTCTAGCGAAATAATAAGAGGTGTGTAGTGCAAAAACAGTATTTAAGGCAATTTAATTCAGGTGTTGGACACATTTGTTTTAGTAATGCATTTTATCACAATTTTCTTTAAAAGGTTTATTTTTAAGCAATGCTGTTGTCCTAACTGATCACTTGTCTTAGTCATCCAAGTCTCATATCCCAGGTCAAGTCCCTCTGAAAGATTCTAGAACTCAGCTATGTTGAGTCTTGGTCTCTGTGGGGATTAAGGAAGGGAGCAGGAAAGGCTGGCTGCTGGTGTGAATATGAAATTGCCCATCTACCCAGGGAGAGTTGTGGTTTCACTTTCTAGTTCTTCATCCTCACACAGACCATTGCAACTTTTTATTTAATGAAAGTGCTTACATGAATTTCAATTTTAGTCATGTTCCTGTGTTCAAGCCCCTCCCCACCTCCAGTCCCTCACTGAGATCCCAGTTCCTGCAGAGTTGCTTCAGCCTCACTACCAACATCAGCCTGCATGGCTGGGGGATGGAGGGGCAATTAGCTCTT